ACTATTGTTGGGTTTTAGGACATTTAGACTTCTATTTATATTAGAACTCTTATTCCTTGACAGCAAGGAGCTGAGATCTTCAAGGCTATAGAAAAACAGTCTTTCAAGCCAATTTGAAACATCAACCTTCAGAGCACCAATCAAGAAAAGAGAATTCTTTTGTGAAGTCTATTTGATATTCTTCTCTTTTGTTTCTTTAGTTGAGAGTTGTATTAGGCTTTTGGGGTGTGATTTGGTATTGAGAGATTCTACTTTGTATTCCTCACAATTAGTAAAGTTTTTCTCCTCTTTCGCCCATGGACGTAGGCTACAAGCCGAACCACATATATCTTTGTGTTCGCATGTTCTTGATATTTTTCGTTCTCTCATGTGATTGATATTAGCATATCTTGGGAATAAAAAAGTCATAACAGTGAGGTTTTGTGAAATTAACTACTATTAACCACATAATTTGCTGCTAAAAACACTTAAGAATTAAATACCTGAGGTTTAACCTCCACTATACGCTCGCCTTATTTAAACAGACACTGGCTCGTTAGCAAGAACGCTCTCGAGGGTGATCCAGTAGCCCCTTGGCCTGAGAAGAACCAAAAAAAGCCTCAGCATACTCATGATGCCACATGAGTGCCCTATCGTTTGCTTTAATACACAAGAACCATCTGTTGCTGCAGTATACAGTGTCATCACAGGCTCTACAGTTTTCTTCCACTCAAACTTCATAGGAACTAGACTCCCACTTAGATGCTTTGTTCCTCCTTAAAAAAAAAAGGAAAAAAGACGAGTGATTATACCAGAAATGAAAAAGTTAACAGTGTCAAAGTTGAGAGTACCTAATTAAAAATCCATATTCTCCATTCTCATTCTTTCTATGTCCTTTTTGTTATCTGTTTTTTTTTTTCTTTTATTAGCTAGTCCGAGTCCTTTTATTCCTAGACTTTTTCTTTGATCTCCTATCAATTACCTTTTTATATTTATTTTATGTCGAAAACTATGATTATTCTTTATCAGCAAAATTTTCTATTAATTTGATTGCACCAATTAATTATTAGCAAAAACTACAAAAGATAATTTTTTTTAAGATTGTTTTATCTAATTTTTAATTAAAATTGTCTCTATTTTATTTTGTCATGATGTATTTTATACAAAACACGTTTATGATTATTACACAATATACAAAATTAATGTCAAGTAATTAATTTTTAACATTGTAATGAAGATTAGACATGTATTATCCGATAAAATAGAGAGTCGCGCCAAAAAAGAAAGAAAAGAAAATGTAAAGACAATATATCAATAGGAAATAGAAATGAAACGAATAAAGAAAAATGAAGATAAACAAGAAAACGACGAAGAACAGAAAGAAGGGACAAAGGAAAAAAGACTGAAGAGAAAAGTTGGAAAGAAATAAAGTGGGAGAAAATCAAGGAATTTGTTTCCGTAACTCTTTCCTATGATAATGGGAACGCAAGCTTTCTTTTAGGGGTGTTTGGTTCAATTTCTAGAAATTATAGGAAATGTTTTCCTTCTAAAATATGATTTCCTTGTATTTCTTAAAAAAATTATAGGAAAAGTTTTGAGAAATCAAAAAGTACAAATTTTCTTGGTTTTTGTACTTTGCTTGTTTGGTTCAAAACAAGAAAATGACTCATAACTTTATAGAAAATAACAAGATTTGGTAGGTTTTTAATTAAATATGGTATGTGTCAGATTTCTAGTGATTTCCTCTCATTTTGAGAGGAAATTGTTTTTTGTAAAATTTGGTAGGTTTTGATATTTTATAGAAAATATTTCTGTAAATTTTTTGTTGAACCAAACACAATTTATAGAAATCTCTAGAAAACTTTTAATTACAAATTTGCCATTGTCAGATGTTTTGAGAAAAGTTTTCTCAAAAAGTGTGCAACCAAACAGCCCCTAAGACTCTCATCCATCGAAAAAAAACCCAAGAGATGACAATGAAAGTAGTGGTCACCATTATTTTTGTAGTGGAGAGTAACAAAGAGGTTGAAAAAAAGTTATCAAATCTATTCCTTTCCTTGAAGATTTCTACAAATATTATATCACTATTATCCAAAAAAATTCTACACACAAAGGGCTAGATTGAATCCTTACAAATTTGCCAATCTAATCCGCACAAATCCTCTACTCATGAAACACATGATGCTTTAATCATGGACAAGATTGAGCTGCTGTAATTGCTCCTCTACTTGATGCAAATAAGAACCACATGTTCTATTACTGAGGAGCTAAGTGAGGAATCTGCTCTCCAGTTCAATAGAGAGGATCTGAATCCATTTATAACTAGATTACTTATTTATATTAAAAGACTACTTTTATTAAGTATTATGAGAGTTATCAAAACAATTAATAGCTAAACATGTCCTTACAAGGTCAAGTTATCTTCATGGTTTCCTCGAGGTTATTAAAATAGAAGATCAAAATAATTAATAGCCAAACATGTCCTTACAAGGTCAAGTTATTTTCATGGTTTCCTCGAGGTTATTAAAATAGAAGTTTGGCCAAACCGTTCCCATCTTTTTTTCCCTTGAAAATTTGTGGAGTGGTATATAATTGTAGACACCAAAAAATGAAAGTAACATATTTTCCGTAAAAAAGAGGAAAAGGGATAATAGCTTAATTATTAATAGTTGAGCAAAGTTCTTTTGTTAGGATAAAGAATACGCAACAAACACTAGTTTTTTCTATTCTTTTGTATGTCGAAGCTAATACTTCTTTTTTTCTTTTTATTTATTTATTATTATTATCATATTATTATTATTTTGGTGGTAGGAAAAGGACAATGCACAGTGATTTCTTAACTAGATTTCACTATGAGACGACAAAAGATAGATATAAATCTTGCTAAAGTTACTACGTATTAGTTTTCACTGTGAAATTTGCAAATTCTATCCCTTGTGAACTAGGAATCAAGTTACCACTAACTCCTTATCTCCTACATATTGAAGAAGCACGTGCGTTAATAAAGCTAGGCAACTGTTTGTAGAATCCACTACTTCCATCTTTAAGAAAATCTGAGTTTAATTCCCAATTTATTTGTTCCTTGAAAGATAACTCAGGGTTCATTTTCACTGAATATATAGTTGCATAAACTTTTAGGAAAACATAAGATAAACATTTTTTCCGTTAAAAAAAAATACTGACGTGATATTTCTACGATAAACTCAATTCACATTCAAACAAAATGTCTTAGTTCTTCCGACGAAGTCATAGGATAATCAGTAGGATAATATTAAAGGACGCAACAAAATAATGGGACCATGGCTTCAAAGAAAACACGTACCCACCCTAATTCCTATTTTTCGGTAGGCAATTTAGTTGTAGAACGAATATTGTAATTTATAAGTAAGATTAGTACACGAATAACAGAGCTGGAGTAGCTCAGTTGGTTAGAGCGTGTGGCTGTTAACCACAAGGTCGAAGGTTCAAGCCCTTCCTCTAGCGCAGGTGTTGCTTTCTTTATATTGATTTTTTAGATTATTTGACGATCTTACATATGCATTCTGAAAAATTGCAAATTGCACGCTTTATTGACAAAAATTGTAAATTTTACTTTTCACTCTGCATATTTTATAGATTATACCTTTGACCTCTAACGGATATTGCTTTCTTTATATTGATTTTTTAGATTATTTGACGATCTTACATATGCATTCTCAAAAATTGCAAATTGCACGCTTTATTGACAAAAATTGCAAATTTTACTTTTCACTCTGCATATTTTATAGATTATACCTTTGACCTCGTAGAGGGGTATTTCGGTCAACCCCTTCCTCTAGCGGATATTGCTTTATATTGATATATTGATTTTTAGATTATTTGATGATCTTACATATGCATTCTCAAAAATTGCAAATTGCACGCTTAATTGACAAAAATTGCAAATTTTACTTTTCACTCTGCATATTTTATAGATTATACCTTTGACTTCGTAGAGGGGTATTTCGGTCAACCCCTTCCTCTAGCGGATATTGCTTTATTGATATATTGATTTTTAGATTATTTGATGATCTTACATATGCATTCTCAAAAATTGCAAATTGCACTTTTTACTCCGCATATTTCATTATGCCATGCATTTTTGACGTCTCGGTGAACCTACCTAGCAAAACTAATCACAAAAATTGCAAATTTCACTTTTCACTCTGCATATTTCATAGATTATACCTTTGACGTCGCAGAGGGGTATATTGGTGAACCTACCCGGCAAAACTAATCAATAGTGATCTCAAGACCAATGTTAATTTACTTCATTGTTTTGCACTTAGAATCGAACTGATAATGAATTTTAACAAAGTAAATTATAGGTAAGTAAATTTAATTACTTATTAAACATAAAAACCACACTTCAAACTATTGGATGGGAAAAACAGTGATTCGGATGGTTAGGGGGTTCAAATACGACTCCCAAAACCTTTGGTTAATCTGATATGTCTCAATCTCCCCCAGCCTACTATACACTTCTCAATCATTTAAAAAAAGCAGAAAAGGCCTTGCATTTGAAAATAGCAGAAGTGTCCTCGCATTTGGAAAAAGCAATGTAAAGTACCCTCAAACTTGAAATTTTGAAGGGGTGAAAAACTAACAAATCATCTTTTTCACTGACACGTGACTACGACGCTCCTCAAGATTTAGTGTCATGAGTGGCACTACAGACACATCCCCAACCACACCTCGGGGCACACCCCCTCTCTTAGCTACAGTGTACGAAACCCACTTTAAATTTAAAAAAAAAATCTAAAGTAGGCCCCGAGAAACCCACTTTAAATTTAAAAAAAAAAAGCTAAAGTAGGCCCCAAGCACTGTAGCTGAAAAAGGGGATGTGCCCTAAGGTGTGGTTGAGGGTGTGCCTATAGTGTTTTCCTAACGTCATACATAGATCGTGCGCACCGGAATAGTACTAATTAATAGACCAAACGAAAGAGTAATAAAATACGAGAGCGAGGGATTGGGCTCCTAGGGTAAAGCTTTCGGGGACCAAATAGCTCAACATGATAGATGCAAACTTTTGCAAGCTACATAAATTATTCTTATCGAAACACCACATCACACTATCCGTACCTCAAAGTCTACCGCACCAGAATCTCCATCCCCGAAAAATTTCATCACATTTACATGGGCATCTTATCTTGGCATCTTATCTTCAAAACTTTGAAGCTCTCTACACCTATAAACTCATCCCTTAACCATAATATACAGAGCACAACAAAGATTTAATATACAAGAATTTCCATTTCCATCCTATAAAAACCTCATACATGATACACCATTCCTACCTCCAATGTAGATGCGTGCGGCGTACTGACCGCGTACGTTGGACTCCTACAGTTCCTCCTCAAGAATTCATATCCGACGTTGATCGCCAGTCTCTTTATGAAGCTTGATCCACTCTTCGCTTTCATATATGAATGGCTCATTATAAAGGCCATCCCAGCCTCCCTCGCCTCCATCAGCTCCTCCATCTCCTCTCTCGATCCACTATCCATCTTCGGACTCTCTGGCAAGAGAAACCTAACTCTCTTCCTCCTCACTACAATCGGTGACTGTATCTCCCTCGGCTTCGATGTGCCTTCATCTGTGATCGCTCCATCCTTGTCACTGTCATTGTGGTCGCTGTTCTCGTCTTCTCGTAGCCTGAATCCTGTACCAACAACGGCCATCTTTTCTTCGTCCTTGACAGAAACCTCGGATGAGGGAGTGCCATTGGGTTCAGAGTTGCTTTCGGACTGAATGAAGGCTGCGATGCTGCAGACAAGGTCCTTCTCGAACTCAAGGTCGTCCTTGTGCACATCATGGTACCCGTAGCGGACGATGCATCTGTAGAGGCGGTACTCTCTCGGGCCGACACGACCGACGAGGAACCGTTCCTCGGGTTGAACATATGGGACTGGGACAGATTTGATGCATAGGAAAACAAGGACCTGGTGATTTAAAGTTGTCATGGTCATGAATACCTTCGCATAAAAGCAACATACATTTCAAAAAACGCCATGAAAAATGAGGGTTTTGGACAAAACTATCACGAGCTTCAAAACTACAGAAAGATATCATAAACCATTAGAAATTGCTGCTGGCAGCATTAACATCATAGACAAAAGGTCTACGGTACCATTATCTAGATCTATCGATCCTCAAAATTCATAACGATAATATAGAAGATATACAAAGTATATAAGAGTAAAATTGTCCTAACACATTACATGTGGAGCACTTGACAACTTACCCTAATTGTCATCACGCATGGTAGTTTCATGACAAATCCTATAATTTCTCTATTAAAAAATTGTTTATAGTAGTTCTGTGGAAAACACCCCAAAGTTCATTGCAGTTATGTGAAATTTATCATAAGAACCAAAAGATAAACTACATGCCCCAAATAATCCTTGATAGTTTAAATCTCAACGCCCACAAAAAGAACTGTGTACTTATCTTATAAGTACTCCCTTCAGCCTGTTTCTTATTAGTTTGATGCAAAATAATAGTAGGATTTTATTGAAGATGGTGCAAATCAATCTATAAACTATTTTTGTTTCTTATATCTATTTAGTTATCTACAAACATCAGATATATAACAAATATACAGTAAAAGTATTTGAAAGGGTGTTTTCTTCCTACTTCTTCTTCTCTCCTTTTTTTCTCTTTTTGGATGGGAGGAACTTTGGTTTAGTACAAGGCTACCAACCAAGTAAACCCCAAGGGCCTAGGAACCCACTTTCACAGTCCAGACCCAGGTGAATAGCACAAATGTTGCAATGCCTAATAATTAATGTCATAGACACGGATCAACCCTGATTTTTTTGGGCCAAGGCCCAATGCCCCAACCACTGGGCCACTTGCACGTGGCGGCCGCGGGGTGGGTTTTTTTTTTGGGTTGGGGGGGTGGGGTTGCTTATCCTTGTGTGATATGCTTAAGCAAAAGATAAAAAAATACATACCTGATGAAAGGCAGGAAGATTGGTGACAAAGTGGGAGAAGACAGCAGGGATTCCAGAAACAAGCTCAGTGTGTATGAGACCGATACCACGAACACGAACAATTCCAAGAGTTGGGCCAAGGCTAAGGAGCCAGTTGATGGACACCTTGTTCTGAACATCAAATTCGTACTTCAAAAGAGTCCCATAGTGCCAAACATACATAACAATCATGAAGATGAGAGCTAAGACAATGGGGACCCATGCTCCACTGAGGAATTTTATGAGGGCAGCTGAGAAGTAGAGAGCCTCAATTGTACCAAAGAAGAGGATGAAGCATATAGCAAGTAGGATATTCTTGTGCCAGCATAGCACCATTACGAGGGACATCAAGCAAGTGGTTACCAGCATTACTGTTATCACTGCCAAGCCTGTACAATGAAGGGAAAATAACAGTCAGGAAAAAAAAATATGGTCTTGCATACAATTTGCTTCAATCTTAACGGTTAAATAGTGCACGAGTGCGGAAAATATCCTTTACTATGAGAATTTTAAGCTCGCAATTAGGGGAAATGCTTATCTAGTTCAAATTCAGGCCGAAAGAAAATCCTGAGAAATACTTGTTTGAACTATGGTCATCAAGTTTACAATCACTACATTGTACTTACTTGTTGAACGTATACCAGATTGCTTATATAACATTAAACAAGAAGATAGAAAAGCAGCTTAGTCCATACTTATTGAGTTTGTCTTATGTGTTAGTAGATCCCAACAAACTGCAAGCAAAGAACATGCTCAAATTAAAGTAACAGGAAAAGAAACTCCAGCACTCTTAACATGAAGTCACTCCTTGTAATGTTCTAAAGTTACTAAGACCCGTTTGGCATGGGCAAGCTCATGTATTCCTTTACCCTCCATCTCTAATCTCCAATATAAAATCTCATAAGCTTCTAATCTAATCCAATATCAAATAAAAAACTCGTGCGCTTAGATCATGTCAAAGGAGCTAAAAGAAGGAACTCTGTAATATTACCTTGTGGAGAAGATATAAAAGTTAGAATATAAAACTAAAACCTGCCATCTTAATTAAATTATGAAGCATTGAAGAAAATTATGACCTTCAGCTCATACCTGATGCATTACCCAAGTGCTTTGTATCCCTGAAACCAACGGTAACAGCTAAACATAATATCATCAAGATCCAGTTTATCTCTGGTATATATATTTGTCCATGCACTTTGGATGATGTGTGCACAATTTTTACCCGAGGGAAACAACCCAAAGCAGAGCACTGTTTTATGATGGAGAAAGTACCAGTAATAATAGCTTGGCTTCCTACCACTGCTGCAAGTATAGCGATTGCCAAAACTGGCCACCTTAATCTTTCTGCAAAAATTAAGTTAAAATAAATGTCAATTAAGTGATTTGAAATGGTTTTCTATGTAATTTATGACATAAAGATAATAAATACAGAGTACTAAGCAAGTACCTGGGACAGATACATAGAATCCAATTCGATATTCACTTTCAATAATATGATGTTTAGATAGATATGCTGCTTGCCCCATATATGCTAGGATCAAAGCTGGATAAACCACAGAAGTAAAAGCAATCTGTACACAAGCAATGGTTCATTAGATACTGTTTCTCTATCACAGCTAAAGCATAAGGGACAGTTGATCAGGTTTATTAAAAAGCCAAAACATGATAAACTTAGTTAAATAATAGGTTTATCAAAAAACCAAAGCTATCATTACTGGTACTTGATTATATCGTGATAAACCAAAGCCTTTGCAAAGATGAAGTGTTAAATGTATAGTTACCTGGATTGAGAAAATTAGTGTATTGGACATCCATGTCCATGTCAGAGTATTACACTTGTGATTTTTCTACAAAAACATTGCTAGTTCAATATGATCCTAACTCTAAAACCAAAGCCTGTACTTGATTATATCGTGATAAACCAAAGCCTTTGCAAAGATGAAGTGTTAAATGTATAGTTACCTGGATTGAGAAAATTGTTGTATTGGACATCCATGTCCATGTCAGAGTATTACACTTGTGATTTTTCTACAAAAACATTGCTAGTTCAATATGATCCTAACTCTAAAACACAATAGGACAAATTTATGGCTCATTAGGATATGAGACTAAAAACCCTAACTTCTGATGAGTAGCATACGCTACTCATTGGTCTATCTAATTCAGTTACATGGACAGCCATATCTTTAAACTGAATAATAAACTGAAATGAAACAATTAACTAAGACTCATGGACTGAAGTGACCTTGAGGAATGAGGATATTGGCATATTTACATTTGGAAGGATCACATTCAATGCAACTGCAACCCCATGCAATGTTGCAAACGATCTAACTGATATTTTGTGTCTTTTAGAATAATAAAAGACTCATAGTAAATTTCAAATGACAAGGCATCATTTTCAATTAGAAAGAATAAAAAATTATATAGATTAGTAAACTCTGTAAGATTCCACAATAACAATAAAAATCCGCATTTCCTTACCTTGATTGATAACTGAGAGAAGTGCCCCAGATCTGCGAACATTGCTTCAGAACCTGTACGCAAAAAAGTATTATAAGAGAATAATTCATGTACGATATTGAAAGAAGATACTAACTTCAATATATACCTGTTACACATAATAAGATTCCACCCAAGGACATCCAGCCCCCTCTTTGAGTCTTTTTCAAAAACTTATACATGTAATATGGAGATAATGCTTTATATACATGAGGATTCCAATAGAAAATGTTATATAATCCGATTGTGCTGATGCATAAAAGCCATGTGATGACAATCGGTGCGAAGAGGAATCCTACACGGTGAGTTCCATAATGTTGCAGCGCAAACAAGCAAATCAATATGATGCATGCAACAGGAACCTCAACATCTGCACATCAATTCATTTGAAAGGCAGTGCATTAGATTATAACATTGTTATGTGACAAACTACTAGGAAAATGAGTAAAATTAGATCAAGTTGTAAGTCAACAAACATAATAATGGTTAATAAAGAGTTCATCACTTGCATTGCTATTATAAAACAGAAGATTCACAGATTGCTTCCCTTTGGGATTACTGTATGACATTCTCGAGTTTAATCATGCTTGACCAATAGAACATTTGAAGTTTACAGGTCTGCATTTGAATGTTGAGGGTAGTTTCACGTTACTTCTGAGGTGATCAAGTTCACATTAGAGTATTCAGGAGTAAACCCTGTTATTATTTTACACAGTCACAAGTTTACAGATAACACTCAAGTTTGTCGCCTTATTAGGTCAATAGTCCATATTTTCAAGGTGATTTGTTCTCAAATCTTTCACTTGGTACCTCTACTTATTTACATCTTTAAGAACTGCTAAGAGAGTAATCAGCCATAGATCTACCTTCATTTAATGAAGATTGATAATACACTACTGATCAACTGGCAAGATCTTAGCATACAGAACTACAACAATTGATTGCACATTAGTTTTGAGGCTGCAGCATAGGTTCCAGCATGTCTACTTATAATTTGGTGGATAAGGCTTCACATAATAACTGCAAGAGTTGCATAATTAATTCTTCTGAACGATTAACCTGAACTAAATCTCCTGGGGAGAATTTAACACAGGATAAAAGAGTACTACTCGCCTACAAGTTATAAGAGTTAATTACGTTGTGAATGGTAAATTTAGTACAGAGATCCTTATGTAGTTACAATGGACAAGAAAAGGAATTTATTAATGAGTTCAAATATATTGAACTTCTTCCAGAATACAGGTCACAAAAAATGAAGGTTCTTCAAGAAGCCAATGTCCTAAATGATATTCATACTAGTCAGGGTGTCTACCAGTATGAAGCCCTCAACTTTAAGAAAGAAGAAGAGTTCACTCTTTAAAAAAAATGAGCACGAATTTACACCTTTACCCTGATCAGGCAAACAAGCCCTCAAATTTGCAACTTTCACAGTAATAGATCAAAGCAAACTCATATTTCTAAGGAGTTTAAAATAAAGGACAGCCATATACCTACAGAGAGTTTAGAACTAAGGAGTCCGTCTTACATTTTCGACATCAATATAATACAAACAAGGAAACTCAAAAATTAACCTATATCGACACACCAAACTTGCAGTGTATCCCTGATACACAGTAAAATAAACCAGTAGCATACTTGTATACATAGTTTACATATGTCATGTTATCACCAACCCACATGCTACTGTATTTATACTTACCTATTTGTGAGAAAAACATTAACATTAGTTGTCGTTACTAAAAGTAATCTGGGTGTATAGACAACAAAGAAGTGTTATTGGCTTACGGCTATACAGATTAAATCGGTGTGGGTGTGGCTACCATCACCCGCCTCCTGCAAAATTGGCTGAAAAGGAGAGAAACCAAGAACCGGTCAAGCAAACAGACAAACAAAACGAATCATTGACCCTTCTCTACTATTATTATGTTTTTCATCTGTTGTTTTTGCCACCTCAAAACATAACAAAATTCATCTTTGGATTTCCTTCCATCTGGCAGAAATAGGCATCATACATCCTTATGTAGTTAAGATGGCCACATCACACATATTTTAGATGAAAGACCAGCTATATACCACTAGTTACTTTGATTGTTCATCCATGTCTGAGAATTTGTGTGCTTCACTAATAACGTAAATTAGCCCAAAACTTAACTCTAGCAATCTAGAACAGTGACATCTTTCTTAAATAACAACAGCATTGAATGTGCTTTTTATGATTTTGTTAAAAATAACTCCAGATGACAAATTATTCAAAGGTGATATTGAAGAAAAGTAGTCAGTACATGATGAATCATAATCATTGCTAATCTTCACCAACAAATATGACATGTTCAAGCTGAACTCAATATCTTCGAACATATCAAAATGACATGCAACCAACTTGTTTGACCAAGAAGCACCTCACATACATTTAATATGCATATACCCTTAATAAAAGATATCATCCTGAAGGTGATAGTCAGATATCATATAGTCAATATTCTAACATTTTAGAGGGTAACCAAACAACATACTTCATCTCTAACACGTTTAACACAGTCAAACTTCTCATGGACTGAACTTTAAAAACATGCCCACTTGTCCACTAATCAACATTAAATAAAAGAGAATCAGTAGACACTTACATTTGTGATGCTGCTTCGACATTGAAAGCTCAAGCCCTGAGACTGCTGAAAAAACTGCACAAACAAGAACAGCACGCTTAAAACTCACAAACAATATGATAACAAAGCACCAGTCTGCAGTAGATTGAACAGAATTTATGCAAAGGAATTAATCTCTCTAGTTTCACACAAGCATATGCTTTGTAATCATAAAAACAGTTTTTAATCAGAATCTAATTCTAAAAAATCTACAATAGTTTAATTTTAGAAGTTGAAGATAATTTTACAACATCATCTGAAATGAAGATAAATCCTCTCTCAACCAAAAAACGAATTCTATCGGTTTTGATAAATCACGGTTTTGATAAATCAAACAACTTGAAAATAAATGTCTTTAATTTACCATCAATACTTAGTTATTTACTGTCTTATTTCCTACTTTCAGGTGGGAAATAATTTTTTTTTCATCTCTTTCACTAACCAGGCAAGTTAAATCAAATTTGCAAGTTTGCTCCCTTTCCCTTCTTCTCACTTCCGCCACGACCAAAAAGTCACCAACCAACCAACCAAACCCAAAACGAAAGACAAAACTTAAAACCAAATCAAATCAAGAACAAGCAATGAAACCCAGCAATGAAACCAACCCGAAATCGCGGGAGTAAGCACTCCATCCCCTATCACCATACAAGTCCCTAGCAGTGCAAGAATCAACAGCATCTTTTGCAATACTTGGTGCTTCTCTAATACCCTCTTCACCCTTGATCCAGCCCCCGGTCTCCTCTCACTCCTATCCCCATTATACAACTGAAACCTCCCATCCGTCTTCTTATACGCCGAAATCTCCTCATCGGCAAGCTGCCCATTGGGCAGAAACCCAACCCTAGCATGTCGACAAAGCAAAGAGTAAAGCGCAAAAGTGCCTCCTTCACCATTATCATCAGCCCTTAGAACTATAAACACATATTTCAATAGGGGTACTAAAGTTAGAGTCCAAAACACAAAGGAGAGGACTCCAAAGATCTCTTCATTGCCCTCAGAGTGCCGAATATCCTCTGCGAAAGTACTCTTGTATACATACAATGGGGAAGTGCTTAAATCCCCATAAACCACTCCCAGACTCTGGTACGCTAGTGAAAGAACTGTCCTCCAAGATTCTCTCTGAGACAAAACACCAACAAAATCAAATTTTGATTGGACAATCAATAGAAAACTAATCTAAAACAGCAAAACAAGCAAGACCCAGATGAAGTTACCTTGACGGGGTTATTATAAACGCCTGTTTCAAGATCCATGGATGAAAAAAAAAATCAGGAGCAGAGAAGACCCATGTCCTGTTTTCGTTGTCTTTTCAATAGGAAGAAGAAGAAAGAGAATTGGGTTTTGCTTCTTTGTTTATTTGTGTGAGGTATGGTTAGCAGGAGCAGGTGAGAAGAAGGAGAGAGGGGTTGTAGAATTTGAAGCAAAACAAATGGGGGAAAAATTGGAGACGGGGTTTTTATTTTTATTTTTTAATTGCGTTGTATTGTTGCAGTTGGCAGTGTCTACAGGGAGCGATGGGAGGATTTGCGTTTTTATTGAGGAGGGAGTTACGAGTGAAGAAAAGAAACTGCTCGTTCTGGGATGTTCTTTTAAGAGAGAGAAAGTAGAGAGAGGGGTTGTTGAGGGTGACGTGGCTTCAATTGGTGGAGTAGAAAGGAAGGGTGTGGGTGTGAGAATTCTTGGAAACTTTTTGGGAGGATGATGAAGGAGAACAAGGGGGAGGAGAGAGAAAGTTCGAAAATTAATGAGGAGAGAGAAACTTGATATGCAATTGCTCTTTTTTTTTTTACTGCGGTTTGAGCAGGTCACTTATCATCAATTAATAGCGAGGGGTGAAGGAAATGGATTGTTGATACTTGATAGGGACGGCATTGGATTGTCAAATTGTGGGGGTCCAAGATTTTAGCTTTGAGCAAATGATGCTATCAATTGGCAGTTTAATTCAACCCTATTAGTCAGGCTCTGCGCATGTTATAGGTCTCTAATGCTATGTTTGTGAGTTCAGTAAAGAAAGGAAAGTAAATGTAAGATATGGAAGGAAAATGTAAGAAATGAGAGCGAAAATATAATATATTGTTTGGGAGTTTTGCAAGGGGAGTGGAGGTGAACTTAAATTATTTTGTTTGTGAGTTCTAAATATAGGATGAGAAGGGAAATAAATGAATTTTAACTAGTGATTCACTACGATAGAAGGTCAAAATGTCTCTTTCATTATGAAATTTTACTTTCTTTCTCTTCCTCTCCTCTACCCCCAATTTGGAGGGGAACAAAACTGAACTTTTTCCCCTCCATTTTCCTCCATTTCCCTCTTAAAAAAAACTCTCAAACAGAGTAACGCTCTTTTTCCCTTCCCCTACCGCCCCATTACCCTCCATCCAAACATAGCATAAGAGTGTGTTCGGCAAGTAATTTGAAAATAATGTAAATTAAGTTTGAACTAGCTACACTTGGTCTAGGTTATGCTAAACTACACTTTATTGAACTAATTCTAACTAAAACCTACTTTGGCTAATTTGCAGAACTGACAACTTTTTTGAACTAGTTCTGTTATAAGCTAAGTGAAAGTTGGTTTGTTGGTTTGTTTCTAGCATAGTTATGGAGCAAAATTGGACCTCAAAAGAACTAGTTTTTTCCCTCTCTTTTTCATTTACAAAACAATGGCTAAGCCCATAGACTCATTTTGTCTCCATCAAAACTGGTTCACCCAGTTTACCAAACAAACCCTAAGAGCGTGTTTGGCTACTCTAATATGGTTAAATCTTAACTAGGTTAGTTGTAAACGTACGACGTTCAAAAAGTCAACGTTCGACGTTCAAATCCCTAAGGTCAACGCCGGTCAACGCGTAACCCTAGGTCAACGCCGGTCAACGCGTTGCAATCAAAAAGTCAACGTTCGACGTTCAAAACCCTAAGGTCAACGCCGGTCAACACGTAACCCTAGGTCAACGCCAGTCAACGCGTTGCGATCAAAAAGTCAACGTTCGATGTTCAAAACCCTAAGGTCAACGCTGGTCAACACATAACCCTAGGTCAACGCCAGTCAACGCGTTGCGATCAAAAAGTCAATGTACGACGTTCAAAACCCTAGGGTCAACGCCGGTCAACGCGTAACCCTAGGTCAACGCCAGTCAACGTGTTACGATCAAAAAATCAACGCGAGTCAATATAGTCAGTTCAAAGTCAACTCAATGACGCGAGCCAAACTCAACTCACCGGTGGTAGACTCGAGACTCCGACGACGGCCAGGCGATAAACGCAGCGCCGGAAGGACTTCGGCTATTCGTCAAAGGATCGAATAGACCGAAAATCGAAGGAGCCAAGAGTTGAAGCTAACTACAGGTCCTTTACACTGATCAAAGGCTGGACCAATCATATCCAAAGTATTCCCGCCTCTTCTATAAAAGAAACGAGTCTGGAATGCTTTGGAGGGGGTATCTGTAGGCATTGAAAATTGCCTGCCTCTTCTATAAAAGAAACGAGTCTGGAATGCTTTGGAGGGGGTATCTGTAGGCATTGAAAATTGCCTATAGGTCTCCACGAACCGCTCAGCGTTAAGAAAAGATGATGAACGTCACTATCTTGTTCATAGAAGCTTGATTGATGTCGGTGAACGCTTGAAGTGAATCGACGAACTACGGAATTTCAGAATAACGAAGACACGAACTGATCGGGAACCTCGTGTCGTTCACAAACGACGGAATACCCTTCGTGTCTCATTTATTCCACAGATGATCTAATCATTGGAGCTTATAGAACTCCTCGTCGGCTTTCCAACGCACTTTGAATCGCTCAAATCCGAGTTCGGATGAAGAAGTTACGGCGGAAACGGACGAATGTACGAAAACAGCGTCTCAGCCTGAATTGAGACACCCCGAGGTGTCTCGGCCCAAACGAGACACCCCAAGGTGTCTCGGCCCAAGTTGAGACACCCAAGGGTGTCTCCAACCTGATTTCGTCCTGTGCCTATAAATACAAGCCTCAGAGCCTCATTTTTTCAGATCTGGAATTCTCGTGCCTCGGCGAAGCCCTGCTGAATTGAAGACTTAAAGTACACAAATTTCAGAGAGGAGGAGGAGTTAGATCTGCAGCCCGGTTCGTTCCTTAAAATTATCCCGTTACGGTAATCTTAAGAAGAGTGATTATCTCGCTTCGCCGAGATAAGAGCTACGGTTTCTCGATCCCTTGGCGGATAGACGAAACTCTGTCCAAATATTGATCGTTGGGTGGTCCACGGACTAACGCGTCCCCGTCATAGGCCAAGATCCCACGCAAGCAGCGGGCGATAAACACTCGTTGTGTTTGTTTGAAGAGAATTGTAATTTTTTTTTGTTTTTATTGTGTAAAAGTCCTATAAAAAGACTGATTTTTGTATTCGTTGTAAACGTCTGAAGTTTGTAATGAATCCCGCAATGAAACAATCAATTTTCACTGCAAACAAGCTCCTTTTGGAGTTGGTTCCATGAAATTTGATGTCATGTTATTTACAATATGTTGAAAACTTTTGATTTAAAGCGCTATGAAAACAAAATTTGGAAATTAATTGCAATGCTTAAATTTCGCAAATGGCATATTCTCAGTCAACTTAAAATGATATGAACCGTTCAAAATTTCCCTATTCTTTTATGTTTTGTTGAGCATATAGAATTCAATGCTTTCTTTTCGTACTATATTTCCATGCATCTAAATTTTCATGTATGAATTTTGCACCAAAAAAAAAGGAAACATTATCGATTCAGGTTCTTGCAACTTAGATATTTCAAGGTTCCACCAAGTTTCATGCAACTAATAATTTTTTAAAGTAGTTTTCGTAGATTAGGTTTTGCAATTCAGAAAGGATTAGCGGCGCAGCTTGTTGCCCGCTTGTCATCATCACATGTGTAATTTTTTTTTCCCTCTCTGAAATGATTGACATCCTGCGAAAAGGGAAACAATTTCCATGTCTCCAAATACTCGAGGTTTAATGATTTCTTACAATTTTTAGTAGTTTTCCATATAAGAATTGAAGACAAGTTCTTAAGAATTTTTTTGGAACATCTCAACCATATGGATTATCTATGATTCCTTTATCCAAACTAGTCTTAAAGGTATTTGTTACACAAAAGAACATATATAGAAGAAAACTTTATGTTTCTTAATTAATCTAAATAGATAAATAGAATCCTCCTCCCCCCCCCACCCACCTTTTTTTTTAAGAACTTATTCTTTTATGTGGTCGTTGCATACTAGTCACTTAAATTATCTTTAATTACCAAAATTCCCTTAAATCTCAGTATTTGCATATTAATCCCTCAAATCTTCAATTTTATTGTAAATTTCTCTCTCTTGTTAGGTGAAGTTAATTATTATAGTGAAATTTTGTTAAGAGTACAAACGGAAATGGTTGGATTTCCATTATATCTCTACCCCTATTTAACAGTAGTATTTATAATCTCACCAATCCGTTTGATAACAGGTTTAGAGTCACAAATAGCAACCCAAGCCCACACAAAGACCTTCTTCTTCAACGGTCAAAACTTCTCCAAAGCTAATTTTGAGCTGTTCTAATGGTAAAATTCCCCTCTCATACAGTTGAGTAATTTTTCATGTTGGGTTAAGGCTTAATTCAACTAGAGTTAACAATATTAACAGAATACCTAACAAAGGGATGAATTTGTAAGAAAATTGAAGATCTGAATGACTAATAAGCAAATATCGATATGTGAGGGACTATTTGGCAATTAGGCAGTAAGGGACTGATATGCAATTACCCTTCTTTTATTATTCACTTGAGAACTGATTTGTGTTCTGCAATAACTTACGAACGAAGCTCTTACTTGTGATACATTAGGTATATAGATGTCATTATTTAATATATCCACTAACAAAAAAAAGTTTAGTGTCATCAGTGTTCCAATTAAATATCAATATCGACTGATCTTCCGAAGAAAGAGATGTCTTCATCAAAGATGAAAGGACCATTCGCTTATATTTGCCACGTTGCTTAACACGAAGCACTTGCTTCCGAATACATCATACTTTGCATGATATGTACACTTAGGGGTGTCCAAAAAGCCCGGAGCCCGGGCCCGGCCCGGTGTCCGGCCCGGGCCCGGAAACCCGGGCAAAACCCGGGTCCGGGCCCGGGCCCGGGTCGCCGTTGGCGAGCCACGTCCGGGCCCGGCCCGGGCCCGGAACAGTGGCGAAAAAAGGCAGCTGTGGCTTCGAATGGCCGGGCCGGCCCGGTCCGGCCCGGCGCATAACGTCACAAAACAGGTGTGACCGTTGACGCCGCCCCGGCCCGGCCTAGCCGCGGCGCCGACACGGTCACACACGAAGGTGACCGTTGCGCCGTCCGTGGCCGGCCCATGCCCGGGGCTCGACGGTACAAAAGGACGCGTTTGGCCGGGACCGGGCCGGGCTAATCCCGGCCCGGCCCGGGCCGAACGGCAGCATTGTGCACGCGTTATGGCGGCCGGGATGGGGCTGGCCCGGCCCGGGCCAAATCTGGCCTAACGGCCAGATTTGGTCTTTTGACCGTTTTGCCCCTTAAAACGGTCAAAAAACGGCTATTTTTCGAGGGTTTTTTGGTCATTTACCTAGGGGGCTGCTTCTATAAATAGAGGGGGGGTTTCAATTCATTTTCTCACAACAAAACTCATCTATTTCTCTCTCTACTACTCTCTTATACAATCTTATACTATCTCATACTAATATACTATCCTATAATCTTTTGTATTTTCTAATACTTCCAACAAATGGCTTCTG